TCCCATTTTCAAGGTCACAGCTGGCAAATCTGCTTTTGGAGTTGGAAAACGGTGTTGCCGCGATATCTCAAGAACTAATCGCTGGATTGTCTTCATATTTGGAACTATGGTGTATATACAGACTCCGCAGACACCAGTCGATTTTGGTGACCTTAACTTAATTTTCAAGGTAACAGAAGGGAAATCTGTTATTCGAGATGGAAAACAGTGTTGCTGCGATATCTCAAGAACTAATTTCTGGATTCCTTCATGTTTGATGATATTGGCTTTTGGAGTACGACAAATAGTTCCATGGAGGTATCTAACAGAAAATAATATTATTCAAAAGGAATAAAATATTTGGTAAAAAAACACATATTGCATAAGGCGGCGAGGGACATTTCGTCACTATGTGACAAATACTTGTTATATGCTTATTTCTTTATAGGCTGAACAGCACCTGTGTAATTCCAGGCCATGTCATTGCAGGTAAATTGCCTATATTTACTAGAGGGAAGACATTATATATGAAAACAGCATATACATACAAACTAAAGGCGGTGTATAGATAATTTTGTTATCATTGGAGGTAAGTGACCAGAACATTGAGGACGCGACTACGTGTACCCACTGAACACAAAAGGGAGTTTTGTTGTTAAAGACCACGTTACCTGAAGCATAACGCTTCTTGAGATGTATGTATCTTACATTCTGGCGAGCAGCCTACCGTGTAAATACTTTAAAACGAAAAATAACATTCGGCTCGCATTATTAAGTTCCGTGGAGCATATCCTATTCAAATAGTTGGCCCTGGGAAACATGTTTTATATATTGGATAGTTGTGACTTTCATAAGCTTATTGACGTGCAAAGTATAGGAGCCAAACAGTTTTAGACTAGCAAATGCATGCGAAGATATAACTTGTATTTAGAAGAACATTTGAACAAATATTTGCTAAGAACACTTGTCTACAGACAATAATAAGGACCGGTCTCGATATCTTAAGGAAGCGACGTTTCGTGTAAATAAATAAGATTTGAAGTTACTTCATGAAAACAGTTTATATGAGGCCACTGTGTGATAATGAATTATTAGAGGTAGTTTATCCATAGACTAACATTTAGTACAATAAATAAAGTTATCTTATTTCAAATATTAAAAAGTATATTCTCTAGATCAATATCCTCAATATCATTGTTGCAGCTGCGCAACAGTATTTGAAGTAATTTACTATATGTAATTTACAAATGTAAATGATTGAATCTACTTGTCTCAAACGAAAGACCATATTTGACAAATAGTCATTACAGCAGATATCATTTTAAGAGAAATAAACAAAACTGTACATTTTGAGTACTTTCTATATTGCCAATGAGCCAAGGATCAAGGCTACAGACCCGTAAAGATTCCGAGGTAGAATAGGTTTTCAGAAACCCATGCTTGCCGTAAAAGGTGACTATGCTTGTCGTAAAAGGCGACTAACGGGATCGGGTGGTCAGGTTCGCTGACTTGGTTGATGCATGTCATCAATCCCAATTGCGTGGATCGATGATCATGATATTAATCACTGGATTGTCTGGTCCAGACTCGAATATTTACAGACCGCCGTCATATAGCTGGAATATTGCTGAGTGCGGCGTAAAACAACAAACCAACTATTATTAAAATACAAACCCAAGTAAGTAAAACCGCAATCAACTTCAACCCTTTTCCCTTTTTAAAACCACTTTTCGGCCTGGTCCAGACTCGATTATTTACAGACCGCCGTCATATAGCTGGAATATTGCTGAGTGCGGCGTTAAACAACAAACCAACCTTTTCTACCCCGGATATTCACGGGTATAAAACTGGTCTAACACTATTGAAAGTAAACTTTGGTTCGGAGATGTATGAAAGTTCCAAATGTATGGTTGGTTGGTTTGTTGTTTAACGCCGCACTCAGCAATATTCCAGCTATATGACGGCGGTCTGTAAATAATCGTGTCTGGACCAGACAATCCAGTGATTCATATCATGAGCATCGATCCACGCAATTGGGATCGATGACATGCATCAACCAAGTCAGCGAGCCTGACCACCCGATCCCGGTAGTCGCCTTTTTCGACAAGCATGGGTTGCTGAAGATCTATTCTACCCCGGATCTTCATGGGTCTCAAATGTTTGTTTGTTTGTTTGTTGTTTAACGCCGCACTCAGCAATATTCCAGCTATATGACGGCGGTCTGTAAAATAATCGAGTCTGTACCAGAGAATCCAGTGATTGACATCATGAGCATCGATCCACGTATGTCAAGTTACGGCAACTATATCTCAAAGATAAGTTCTATTGTTGTCCTGACGTTCATAAATTTAATATGCTTCTGTCATCACCAGATACAGATATTATTACAAATCTAGCAAAATGTCTATATTATGCAAATGAAGTAAGAAATGCGAAACTGAATATCTAAAACTTGTCTGTACTCAACTTTTGTACACAAAGGACTGTGGCCTATATGTATTGGAATTCAAATAAAATGATTGATTGAATGAGGAAGCGAACATATATTAGATAACAAACATCAAGTCAATACCTGGTAAAAGTGTGCCGTTAAATCACAAGAGAGTGAAATAGTCGGGTCACTAAGTCTCTAACAAAACATGAGATGACTCTGTACAACGACGACCGCCGGACTTTGCCGAACGGTGACGTAGTTCAAGCTTAAGAACGGTGCGATCACTATACCGATGACACACAGAGGTACTTCTGTATAAGCGCATATCGGAAGTCCAACGCTTGCAAGTGTAATATATATATATATAACGTCAACGCCAGAGAATAATCAGTTCCGATTTTCTGCCGAAACAGATTCCATTGGGTGTTAAAAGGAAGTTATGGTGAACATATATGACTGGATCACTGAAATTCAGTGACGACACCGGGTGTTCGCAAAAAGCATATATTAGACCCGTGAAGATTCCGGGGTAGAATAGGTCTTCAGCAACCCATGCTTGCCGTAATAGGTGACTATGCTTGTCGTAAAAGGCGACTAACGGGATCGGGTGGTCAGGCTCGCTGACTTGGTTGATGTATGTCCTCGTATCGTATCCCAATTGCGTGGATCGATGCTCATGATATTCATCACTGGATTGTCTGGTCCAGACTCGATTATTTACAGACCGCCGTCATATAGCTGGAATATTGCTAAGTGCGGCGCTAAACAACAAACCAACCAACCAACCAAAAAGCATAGTCATGATCTGCAGGGACAGGACATGCAAACCTGGATTAAAGAACGCCACTCATTTGCATAAAAGGTTAGTGTTTTTTCTGTTGCCTAACGAAGTAGGGCGGCGGCATGTAAACGAAAACAAGTTGTCAGCTATTTGAATATGTTTGATCATTTTCATATCTATATTTGAATGTTTTCGTCAGGATTTGACATTTCCAGCCAGCTGGTAAGGCGGCTTTTCCTATCCCGTCCTTTGAATATTCCTATATTCCTATAGTCTTTTCACCGTTTACAGGACGGTGAGGTTGGTTGGTTGGCTGGTTTATTGTTTATCGATGACAAGCATCAACCATGTCAGCGAGCCTGTGAGGGAGTGAGTTAATATTAACGTCACATTGGCAATATTTCAGCCATATTGTGAATAGACCAATATACATGTATATCAAGAGTAAATACATTTAGAGTTTATAAAACTGTCGACAATGGATAGTGAAACAACGATAGTATCACAGATTTGAATTTAAAACTTTCATTTATTCTTCAACTGTGACTATTCATAACAATACATAATAAAAATTAGCTATGGATCACCAGCAACCAAGGTTAGGCCACTATACTAGGAACCATGGGGACTTACGGTACTTCTGCTACCGACATGGTACCCCAGCAAGATTTTACACCATCCCTCTGGGTACTGGCGGTTGTCAGGTAGTTAAGCCAAACAGTTGAAATCAACAAGAATACTGCGACTAAAATAACAGAGAAACGATTAACGCCGCTTTTAACAGTTATTATCACGGCGCGTTAGCTTAATGTGGGAGGAAAGCCCGAAGTGATGCAGGTCTCAGACGTTTACCACTTCGGTGAAACCCACGAGCACGGGTATGGTGATGACAAACCTAGAAACATAATCGGGTGAACCGGGATTCGAACCCACGTTCATAGGTTTCTGGCGTGCCCAAGGGACGCAACTCTGCACAGCGAACCGCGGCGCCTTGGACCAATGGGCCACCCGCGACCCCAAAAGACAAATACTTCGAATGACATAGGACTTACGTACCCTCTCAGGGGGACAATTGTTTTACGATACTTCAACCCCCACCCCCTTTGCAGATACAGCCACTAAAAATATCAGTTATGAATTCATTTAAAAAAAATGAAAAATCACTTAAATACATACACATATTATAATCTGCATTTATCATTTAATTCAATCTCTTTTTTAAATCAAAACAAGAATAAAATGATGATTTACATTAAAAAGATTCTTTGTGGATGAAACCTGGAAAGTAATATCCCTTGTGATGGAAAAATGAATGCAGTCAAGAAGGACATGCTTTACCGTGATTCGTTCATCACAAGGGACACAGAATGGAAGATCTTCACCTTGCAATAGATATTCATGAGTTTATCTGCAATGGCCAATACGACATCTTCGCATAAAATTACCTCTACAAATCTGGACTGACAACCCAAGTAGGTGTAACCGATTGTTGGTTTAATAGCATGTAATTTATTTAATATCTACATGAGTGTCCCACTTCTTGTGCATGAGGCCGCTGATGTAAAAAAAGACAGGTTTGTAATCACTGTGAGGGATCACATCTTGTGTCACAGATTTGTCGAGCGCTGCTTTAGCCTTTACAGAACGGACTGGCATGACTGGTCATGCACTCGATGAATACAGTGTTCATTTTATTTCCTCTAATTATATCAAATAACAACTCTTTTGTTAGCTTCATTCATGTAAACATCTCTTTTGAAGTTGTCCCGATCCAGTAGAGCGCTGATGCGTATCGAGATGACACGGCGCATTTCACTCGAAAAGAGAGAGAGAATAATATGCACCTTGCTACATCCAACGATCAATCCCCCTTTTTATCTGCCGCAGTCTGCAGGTTCCTAGTTTAGTGAGTGACGTAAACCAGCTGAAGGTCCTGTTCGGCAGAACCGGGTAAGTCGACACCTAAAATCACCATGAATGTCCATGTACACTTTCCGTATCGCAAGTTTACTTATGTCGAATAGTCTCGATATTTATCTTATGTTTATTTGTTCATTTGTTGTTTATCGCCTAGCTCAGCAATACTCCCGCTACATGGCCATGTCCTGTTTCTTTCAAATTGCTGATGATAAGATGCCCGCTGACACGGGAAAAGAGATCTTTCAGATTTACGCGTTGGTAATGTGAATCCCTTGCGATTGCAAAGTCCACACAGTCAAGCAATATATGCTTGACGGTTAACCTTTCATCACAAGGGAACCCAGTACAAATGAAGAATAGGAATGGTTTTAGAGTCAAGCCAAAAGTTGATAGTACAGTGCATTGTTTCGGCAGATTTCTACCTCAGTTGGCCTTATAGGGAGCATTACTTGATATGTAACTTATATCAAAAAATTTTATCAAACAATTTATGAAGTTATCAAATCTTAACGCCACTCGATGTAAATATCCACATTCTGAGAACTCTGAGAACCGGTATTAAATGCAGTCCTGATTGACTGGAGAACACATGAATTGTATGTTGCTTTAATTCCAAATATAAAAGAAAATCAGTGACAATTCAAAACAGTGGCAACCTTTCGATTTCCGCTTCTAGGTCGATCCTGCGTGCTTCCAGTTTAAGCTTCACAAGCTCCGTTTCAAGATTCGCACACTCGTCTCTCATCCCCTGACACGATTTACCATCCGTTGTCACCAATTCATAGAACATCCATGCATTTCGCGCCTTGCCGCTCTGTCGGTGTAAACGGCGATTTCAAATCGGCCAAAATTTCCGCCATCCGTGCCCCCGCTCCCATTCGTTTACTTCTTTAAGCCATTTTGTCGCAGATAGCTGACCTTACTGTTCAAGATTGCACAAGGATAGTCAAAACTGAAGCCTAAAAAATGTTGTGACTCAAAGTGCGTTGTCTTCTCGCCATGCTTCTGTAGGAGGATGTATGTGGCGCTCGGGTAAGGCAGGGTACTCTCAGTTAAAACTGGGTTTACCTAAAAGTCAAACTACTTGACACCTTTGTTCTGCTACGTCACTACGTCCGGTTCCCATGAGATTGCGCAGTGCGATCGAGCGGCAGTGCACCATGTGCTTTGAGCGGTGGTAGGACTGACGTGGTCGGTCACAGCACAAATTTGTGATTTTCGTTAGTCACGAGGTGGCTAATTTTAAATCAACAAGACCTGATGATGATGATGGTAAATCTGGATAGTATCGTAAGACCTGATAACTGTCCTTCGCTCGTTGCCACACGAGTTGACAAACTTATTTGGAGTCTATTGAGACCTAACTCACAGAGCATGGACAAAAATTTCCAAAACTGCCAGTTAATGATTGTCAAGACAGTGTCTTTATTGGCAGTTATCACTGACAAGATATACTACATGAAGAAAAATCTTGACAAGGGGTCTGGGCCCAACATTGTGAATGATTCTTTGGGAGAAGTGGTCAAGGGTCTCATAGACACCATCCAGATGGCCAGTCTGGCGAACTTCGAGCTCAATATGAGACGGCGTGAACACATAAGGCCAGATGTGCATGCAAACTATATGCCCCTATTTTCTGCCCCTATTTGCAGCTCATAGTACGAGAGCTGCAGCCACATCGGCAGCTAAGAAAGCAAATGTGCCAATGAATGGCATCTTAAAAACTGCAGGCTGGGCTGCAGGCTGGGCTTCAGCTGAAACTTTTGTTAGACACTACAATGTACCAATAGAAACACTGTCGAACAACACAAGTCGTATGTCCAAAACAATTGTGTCGACATCTGCGGGTGAATAGAATTACTACTGATTGGAGTTATGTGCAAACAACCTGCTGGTTGTGATTAGCAGTTTTTAAGTTAGTGGAATGTATGTTTAACATGTTTAGTGAATTTGTGCCATGTTGGCTTGAATACCAGTTTTGAACTTTCGTTGGGTTGTAATGCTTATGCATACATGTTTCCCAATTTTGTGCAAATCTTGTTGAATTTGCTGGAACTGAAAAAGATAAATATACTGAACTTCTCATGGGAACCGGAAGCATTAGTGACGTAGCAGATTTAAACAATTACAAAAGACTTACTTCTTAGTTGAAGTTTGATTGGGGTTCTGCTACGTCACTGGAATGCTGGAGGTTTACATGCCCTCCTCATCCCTCCCTCGTACCTGTAGTGGCACTTGGTGTCACAAGCACACTTTAAATCCTGCCGCTCGATCGCACTGCGCAATCTCATGTAAACCTCCAGCATTCCAGTAACGTAGCAGAACCCCAATCAAACTTCAACTTACAGGTAAGTATCGTTTAATTGTTTAATTACCCTCCATGTATAGATAGCTTCGCTGTGACCCCCTTTTGACACGTTTGCACTTATTCACTCCCGGGACCGACAAAACGGTTTGAGGGGTTTCGAAAAGGCTGACTGTACCTTATATAAATGCGAGACGAATTTTCTTGGTCGAAAACAAAACTCACTGCGCAGAATAACAGTTATGGTGTTATATCCAATATATCTGTCAACTTGGGCGAAACTTTCGAAACAGGCATAGATATGTACCCCATGACACCAATACTAAAGAGAGAAAACGTCGACGTTTAGGTTGGATTTGTGAACTGCATTTTGGGAACTCTTTGCATCTGATTATATCAGCACTTCCTTTACCAAATTTTGTTTTGGCACTACTTAATAAATTAAATACTACGCCAACTTAAACATACGTGATAGGTAACTAAGACAGATATAATAGGATCAAAATGACAAATATTAACAGAAACTCTTTTGAACACTCCCCTCAACACTGTATGACAAGACTTTCCAATAGTCAACTTCCTTTCATGTCGAGCAGCATTCCAGCAGCTCCAGCCTTTTGTGTTTACATTTCACAACTGTTGAGATACAATCGAGCATGCTCTTTCTTCCAAGATTTCAAAAAATCTTTCTCAGAACTTGTTTGATCAAGGTTACAACATTCAAGTTCCTCAGTAAAAATTTCAAAATGTTTTGTGGTAGACATGTTGGGAACATTTCGAAATTTGACGCATCCGTGACTGAAATTATGTCCGACGCAATTCCCTATTTTGACTTGTACCATATATTCCCGTGTTTTTTCAGGTGAATAATTCGACGTGACTGTTATTTTATCTGCTTGCACTATCTTTCCTAGGCATTGGTGGTAACTACTTTAACAGTCAGTTACCTCCATTGCCTCGGGAAGATGTACTTGCCAATGCGGACGTGATACGGGTTGAGGATTGATCATTAAAAGTTTTATAGGTGTTCGGGCAACTAGGCCCATATACACCTTGCCCTTATTAAATGTTTGCCAAGTACCTGGATATTTTATAAAGTATCAAAACTGCCACACTCTCTAATATAAGCGGTGATGGTGAACAATATTCCTAGAAGATAAAATACCAGACAATGAGAAGTCAATATTGAGAACTGTTAGAGACTCCACCATTGCCTTACGCTGATTAACATACTTTTGGCTATGCAATAATAAATGAGCTACATTATCAAACTGATAACACACTGTACAAGACCCGTGAAGATTCCGGGCTAGAATAGGTCTTCAGCAACCCATGCTTGCCGTCAAAGTCGACTAATGGGATCGGGTGGTGAGGCTCGCTGACTTGGTTGATTCATGTCATCGATCCCAATTGTGTGGATCGATGCTCATGATATTAATCACTGGATTGTCTAGTCCAGACTCGATTATTTACAGACCGCCGTCATATAGCTGGAATATTGCTGAGTGCGGCGTTAAACAACAAACCAACCAAAAATCTGATTTAGACGTGTGCAAAACCAACAAAATTGACCACATTGAAGAAGTGTGTGCAAGCCAGTAGTCTGCTCCCTTGTTTTGGACTACGGACGTCAGACAACCGTGACATTTGAACTTACTGTAGTGGATGATGTATTTTGATGTATTCAATATGTTTCAGATATCATGTAAATGATGTTTCTTGTTTTGTCAGACACGCCTGGTGAAATGTGCTTAAACACCATCTACAGCATTGGGGCTGTACTGCTGTTGTGTCATGCTGTTGTGCAAGCAGGTAGGGCAACGACACTAGTTGATAGATTGGTCTATTAGCCTGATACAGGTGCAGTGTTAATTCCATATTGATATAAGTGAATACGTGTTCACATCGCATTAAGCTATATTTAACTACATCACGGCGGGGGACAAATGAAGTGTCCTTTTACCACATATATCATGAGAATGTTTTCACGAATCACTTCCAAACAGTGAACGTTTGCGTTGTTCTTTTAAATTATTTAATTTATTTATTAGAAGTTGACGGATGACAGGGTTGGCACAATTTTATGGATAATTATAGAATACTAAACTCGCTCCCGTGTAGTACCAATTTTATGAAACGAGTGAATAGTATCGCTCGTCAGATACCAGAACTATTCACTCGTTTCATAAAATTGGGACTACACGGGAGCGAGTTTAGTATTTTATTTATTACTCGTCATTTGTACCTACGTAAAAATCAGCTGATTGACTCCGTACGTCGCATCCCGAGTTCAAATCAGGTCATGCGTATGAATACAAAGTCATGTAAATAGTCATCGTCAAGTGCATCTATAATATCAAAATTTTAGCAATTCCAATGGAGAAAACACCCGAACGCTCTTTTTCTCCACAATAAATCTACTTTAATGAACTTCCTGCGAAACTTCGAAACTGCGGTAATGTTTCGAAAACAATAACAAAACAAGTTTATTCGTTCGTTGACAAGGCCAAGGTCACAACGTCACATGACCGCAGGCAACTGTTACTGTTACTGTTAATCCTCTACTGTTATTCCTCCACCTACTATATAAATACTTTACCATGTCCATCATTCAGTCTTGCTTGACAACGGTATAAGGATCTATACCGATAGTTCTAAAGTTCGTAATAACCGTAGTACGTTATATACATCATATATACAACAAATGGCCAGGATAAGTTCGTTACATCGGTCAGGTCGTTATAAACACTCGTAGTTTAATGTGTATGGGAATGATGGACTCACCAATGTTCCCTCTCTTCTTTAATAACTGATAAATAATAAATGTATTCACACAGGAATTGAACTAGTAGATTACCCCACTGATATCATGGTTTACTGTTTAAATGTCAATCTCGAATTGCACTCATAATAGTTTTTTGTTAAAAACAGTGACAAAACCCTTTCCACAATCATGACAAACCAGTGTACGTTTAAAAGGGAACTATGCTTGTCTTAAGAGGCGACTAACGGGATCGGGTGGTCAGGCTCGCTGACTTGGTTGATGCATGCCATCGTATCCCAATTGCGTGGATCGATGTGCATCATGTCAATCACTGGATTGTCTGGTCCAGACTCGATTATTTACAGACCTGCGTCATATAGCTGGAATATTGCTGAGTGCGGCGTTAAACAACAAACAAACAAACAAATCATAAAACGTGTTGATGGCCTTACTAATATAAGGCCATCCATGTTGTAACCCTGACCAATCGACGTTTGAGCAAGTCGTAAGACGCTTTGCGAAATCCTCGTTGAAACAGCATACTTGATTGTACCTCAAAGTTGTGAAATGTAGGCATCAAAGCCTGGAGGTCTTGAAATATTGCTTGACATAAAGGGAAAATATATATGTATATATATATATATATATATATATATATATATATATATATATATGAAAGTTGAGTTGCCCCTTTATATGCCCCTGTCATACAGTATTGTGGAGAGTTATTTGTTACTCTAAATAATTATTTATGCACAGATCTAAATATGAAACAGATGAGGCTGTTTCACGGTTTAAACCTAATTCTCATGATATAGTCGGAATCGTCCAATGGATTCTGCTTCCAGCACAGATTTCTTATGAGTACCATTTAACTTTTTTTCTCCAAAATATTCCCATTGTCTGTAGCACATGATATATGAGAGTAAGTGCGGTTGAACAAATAACAAATATTACATTTACAATCTATAGATGTCCAGGTCTCTACAATTTTAATAAAATGACAAGTAACGTCGGTGTACAAGGTTTGTGTTTCGGATGGAAATATTTTAAACCTGGCATCATCACTATTTGATTGTGATTCATAACCACATGCTTATGATACGTTTGAATCGTACACTTGACTGTTTAAGAGTTCTTTTGATTATAGAAATGGTTTTGTTCTTAAGTATAACTCATGGTGTCTATCCCTATTCTTGCCCTCATGAATCGCCTACAACTTTAAACCAACCGACTGCAGAGGTCACCACACCGCCGTCATTGGTTTTCAGCGCAAACGCGAAAACATGTGTCACCGAGAGCTTGGGGCTACTAATCATCCGAATCAAGAGACCATCATCGGACAAGTCGAGAATGGCTGCAGCAGTAGCCTATACCAATGGCGACGCAGATTCGACCACTGACTACGCCAACAATGTCACAACGCTCACCTTTGGACGTCGAAAGAGAAATGCTTATCTGGAAGTGCCGATCATCGACGATCTGGTAAGAGTGGAGAGAGAGGTGTACATGTAGGGTTTATATTACCCTGGATGAGAGAGAGTCAGATATACATTAAGGGTTAATTATTTTTAACCTTGGATGAGGGAAGTACAAGTGTTCATGTAGGGTTTATAGTTAGTGAGTGAACAGTCACATCGGCAAAACTTCAGCCATATCGTGACTAAATCAAGTTAGACAGTAATACAAACAATTTGATTATAAAAACCTGTCGGCCGAGAGCAGTAAAAAAACTAGATTATCACAGATGTATATTTTAAAACAAGTATGGAACCATAAAAAGATATCACGGATAACATTACATTATAAAAAAGGGGCTAGGGATCGCCAGCAACCAAAGTTAGGCCACCATACATGGAACCTTGGAGACAATACTTCTGCCACCTCCACAGCAGGATTTACACCATCCCGTAGCTGCTGGCGATTATCATCAAGTTTAGCGAAAGTAAAAAACAAACACGACTAAAAACGGTAGTAGGAATGAACTTACTTCGAATGATGTGGTCTTACATACCCTCTCAGGGGTACAATGCTTTTACAGTACTTCAACCCCCTCTGAGGATACAGACACTAACAATCTCAGTTACAAGTTAAACACTACTGATACAGTAAAATGATGACTATGTACACATATTCAAAATTTATCTAACAGTTCAATTTCTTTTAAAAAGCTAATTATGTAATCAGACGGAACATTATTAATAAGATCCATAATTGATATTGCACTGAAATAGCTATCCCGTGTGATGGAATGTAGGATGTATATTACCTTGGATGAGAGAGGGACATGTGTACATGTAGGGTGTATATTACCCTGGATGAGAGAGGGACAGGTGTACATGTAGGGTTAGAAAGAGTCAGATCTACATGTTGGGTTTATATTACCCTGGATGAGAGAGGGACGGGTCTACATGTAGGGTGTATGTTACCCTGGATGAGAGAGGGACAGTTGTACATATATGGTTTATATTACCCTGGCTGAGGGGGGAACACGTGAACATGTAGGGTGTATATTACCCTGGATGAGGGAGGAACACGTGTATATCTAGGGTTTATATTACCCTGGATGAGGGAGGAATACGTGTACATGTAGGGTGTATATTACCCTGTATGAGAGAGGGACAGGTGTACATGTAGGGTTAGAGAGAGTCAGATCTACATGTTGGGTTTATATTACCCTGGATGAGAGAGGGACAAGTGTACATGTAGGGTTGATATTACCCTGGCTGAGGGAGGAACACGTGTACAATTAGGGTGTATATTACCCTGGATGAGAGAGGGACAGGTGTACATGTAGGGTGTATATTACCCTGGATGAGAGAGGGACAGGTGTACATGTAGGGTTTATATTACCCTGGCTGAGGGAGGAACACGTGTACATGTAGGGTGTATATTACCCTGGATGAGAGAGGGACAGGTGTACATGTAGGGTTAGAGAGAGTCAGATCTACATGTTGGGTTTTATATTACCCTGGATGAGAGAGGGACAGGTGTACATGTAGGGTGTATATTACCCTGTATGAGAGAGGGACAGGTGTACATGTAGGGTTAGAGAGAGTCAGATCTACATGTTGGGTTTATATTACCCTGGATGAGAGAGGGACAAGTGTACATGTAGGGTTGATATTACCCTGGCTGAGGGAGGAACACGTGTACAATTAGGATGTATATTACCCTAGATGAGAGAGGGACAGGTGTACATGTAGGGTGTATATTACCCTGGATGAGAGAGGGACAGGTGTACATGTAGGGTTTATATTACCCTGGCTGAGGGAGGAACACGTGTACATGTAGGGTGTATATTATCCTGGATGAGAGAGGGACAGGTGTACATGTAGGGTTAGAGAGAGTCAGATCTACATGTTGGGTTTTATATTACCCTGGATGAGAGAGGGACAGGTGTACATGTAGGGTGTATATTACCCTGGATGAGAGAGGGACAGGTGTACATGTAGGGTGTATATTACCCTGGATGAGAGAGGGACAGGTGTACATGTAGGGTTAGAGAGAGTCAGATCTACATGTTGGGTTTATATTACCCTGGGTGAGAGAGGGACGGGTGTACATGTAGGGTGTATGTTACCCTGGATGAGAGAGGGACAGTTGTACATATAGGGTTTATATTACCCTGGCTGAGGGGGGAACACGTGTACATGTAGGGTGTATATTACCCTGGATGAGGGAGGAACACGTGTATATCTAGGGTTTCTATTACCCTGGATGAGGGAGGAATACGTGTACATGTAGGGTGTATATTACCCTGTATGAGAGAGGGACAGGTGTACATGTAGGGTTAGAGAGAGTCAGATCTACATGTTGGGTTTATATTACCCTGGATGAGAGAGGGACAAGTGTACATGTAGGGTTTATATTACCCTGGCTGAGGGAGGAACACGTGTACATGTAGGGTGTATATTACCCTGGATGAGAGAGGGACAGGTGTACATGTAGGGTGTATATTACCCTGGATGAGAGAGGGACAGGTGTACATGTAGGGTTTATATTACCCTGGCTGAGGGAGGAACACGTGTACATGTAGGGTGTATATTACCCTGGATGAGAGAGGCACAGGTGTACATGTAGGGTTAGAGAGAGTCAGATCTACATGTTGGGTTTTATATTACCCTGGATGAGATAGGGACGGGTGTACATGTAGGGTTTATATTTCCCTGGCTGAGGGAGGAACACGTGTACATGTAGGGTGTATATTACCCTGGATGAGAGAGGGACAGGTGTACATGTAGGGTTAGAGAGAGTCAGATCTACATGTTGGGTTTTATATTACCCTGGATGAGAGAGGGACGGGTGTACATGTAGGGTTAGAGAGAGTCAGATCTACATGTTGGGTTTTATATTACCCTGGATGAGAGAGGGACGGGTGTACATGTAGGGTTTATATTACCCTAGATGAGGGAGGGACAAGTGTACATAAGGGTGTATATAACGCTGGGTGAGAGAGGGACGGCTGTACATATAGGTTTTGTATTACCCTAGTTGAGAGAGGGACGGTGTACATGTATGGTTTATTTTAGCCTGGTTGAGGGAGGAACACGTGTACATGTAGGGTGTATATTACCCTGGATGAGAGTCGGACAGGTGTACATGTAGGGTTCATTTTACCCTGGTTGAGGAAGGAACACGTGTACATGTAGGGTGTATATTGCATGGATGAAAGAGGGACGGGTGTACATGTAGGGTTGATACTACGCTGGATGAGAGTCTGACGGGTGTACATGTAGGGTTTTTATTACTCTCTATGTGAGAGAGTCAGATCTACATGTAGGGTTTATATTACCCTAGATGAGAGTGGGACGGCTGTACATGTAGGGTTTATATTACCTTGGTTGAAAGAGGGACGGTGTACATGTAGGGTTTATTTTACCCTGGTTGAGGACGGAACACGTGTACATGTGGGGTGTATATCACCCTGTATGAGAGAGTGACGGGTGTACATGTAGAATTGATACTACGCTGGATGAGAGTCGGACGGGTGGACATGTAGGGTTTAGATTACTCTGTATGTGAGAGAGTCAGATTTACATGTAGTGTTTATATTAACCTGGATCAGAGAGGGGCGGGTGTAGTTGTAGGGTTGATATCACCCTGGATGAGAGAGTGACGGGTGTATTTGTAAGGTTTATATTACCCTTGATGAGAGAGGGACATGTCTACATGTAGGGTTTATATTACCCTGGATTAGAGAGGGACAGGTGTACATGTAGGGTGTATATTATCCTGAATGAGAGAGAGATGTACATTTGGGTTTTGTATTACCCTTGATGAGAGAGGGGCGTGTGTACATGAAGAGTTTATATTACCATGGATGTGAGACGGACGGGTGTCACATGTAGGGTTTATATTATTCTGGATGAGAAAAGGACAGGTGTACATGTAGGTTTATATTACCTTGGATGTGGGAGAGTCAGGTGTACATGTAGGATGTGTATTACCCTTGATGAGAGAGGGACAGGTGTATATTTAGGGTTTATATTACCCTGGATGAGAGAGGAACGGGTGTACATGTAAGGTTTATATTACCTTGGATGAGAGAGCGACAGGTGTACATGTAGGGTTTATATTACCCTAGATGAGAGAGAGTCAGATGTACATGTAGGATTTATATTACCCTGGATGAGAGAGGGACGAGTGTACATGTAAGATTGATATTACCCTGGAAGAGAGAGAGAGTAAGATGTACATGTAGGCTTAATATTACCCTGGATGAGAGAAGGGCAGATGTACATGTATGGTTTATATTACCCTGGATGAGAGAAGGATAGATGTACATGTATGGTTTATATTACCCTGGATGAGTGAAGGGCAGGTGTACATTTATATTAGCCTGAGAGGGTTCAAGTCTCCCAGTGTTGTGTGTGTCTCCGATGCCAGGTGGCCACGGGTGGCCCAGTTGCCTAAGGCGCCGCGATTCCCTGTGTAGAGTTGCGTCCCTTGAGCACGCCAGAAACCTATAATGGGTTCGAATCCCGGTTCGCCCCGATTATGTTTCTAGGTTTGTCAGCACCATACCCGTGCTCATGGGTTTCACCAAAGTGTTAAACGTCTGAGACCTGCATCACTACGGGCTTCCCCCCAGCATTAAGCTGACACTCCGTGATATAACTGGAATACTGTAAAAAGCGGCGTTAAACCCAACTCACTTACTCACTCACTCACTCACCCACCCACCCACCCACCCACTCACCCACTCACTCACTCACTCACTCACTCACTCACTCACTCACTCACTCACCTATGTCAGCAAATGTCCAGGAAGTTGTATATGTGTTATGCCGTAGGTTGTCGAATCACGGGAAGAGTTCTCAGTGACAATCAGTGCTTCGGGCTACGATGACATCACCATTAAGGGATGCATACACGATGACGACGGTTAGTAATATATTGTGATATTTCTCATTTCGAGCATATAGTATACACCATTTTCTGGAACCAGAAGTTGTTATCCATGAAGTTGTTCGTTTTCTTTTTTACTCACCAACTTCTAGAATGCCCATCAAACAGTTTCCACATTCTTTTTCGAAAAGTTTATAACTTAAGCGTGTTCGGATCTAAACATTAAGACATGCGTATATTCTCAGCGAACAATAATAATAAAGAATCGTTTTGTGTAAGGCACCGACCATGTAATACCCTTCAGTGAGGATTTGGTGGTTTAGGGTTTTTGAGGCTGTGTGGTTTGGGGTTAGAAACACAATGTATGTCCTTTTACGGTCACTGTTCAAAGACATGTAAAGGATGTGCCAAACATATATTATTTTTTTTATAAATATTGTGGGTGTAAAACCTGAGACCAAATTATGTTTTAACCAACTCCCCCGATAATTGCGGCCGCTAATTTGGATATGTGTAGGAATTGTTGCTGTTCCATGTTCCAGCTGCTGTTCTATTCGACTGTAACCGGTATGGTGTTACCTGCAAAGCCGGCGTCTGTCCGCCCAGCAGTCCGACTTGTGACTGTTCCTCCGCTACTGGTAGAACAGGAGATGACTGTGGTATTATTCAATGTAAGTTTGTAGCATCAGAACAAAATGTACGATTGTCGTCATACCATGCGGACACGTAATGTGTTACCATACAGGGATTATATATAGTCTTTTAGGAATTTGTTTTCGATGATCTAATTCAAGCAACTGACTCTTTATAACTAAGTATCCAATCAGCTTGTTCATCTAGTCAGGCCCGTGAAGACGCCGGGGTAGAATAGGTCTTCAGCAACCCATACTTGCCGTAATAGGTGACTATGCTTGTCGTAAAAGGCGACTGACGAGATCGGGTTGTCAGGCTTGCTGACTTGGTTGATGCATGTCATCAATCCAAATTGTGTGGGTCGATGCTTATGATATAAATCACTGGATTGTCTGGTCCAGACCCGATTATTTACAGACCGCCGTCATATAGCTGGAATATTGCGGCGTGAAACAACAAACCAACCAACCAAATTAATATCGATATCATTTTGTTCAACATTTAAATCCCTACTGTATATCTGGCTTCATCACCTGTGTGCTATTTGTTATTCTTACATAACATCTGGCTTTATCCAATAAAAAGTGTGTTACTTGTTGTCAATTACCTGTTGTTGTTAATGTTAACCTTTGCTTATCACAACATATCATGTATATATACCTACCATTACTTGGTTGAAGTCAGCCCAGCTTGATAACGGTTTTAAAATCTACATCGAAACGTCGCTATATGCAACGAAGTTGTTCGTTTTGTTATTTACTCTACAACAGTGCCAATCTTTCACCTGGATATATAACTTTGATGAACAAATTCTATAGCAAAATCCAACCTACATACACAGGTACCATTTTAACTTTCTGTCGATCTTGATTTGCTGATTTGATCATTTAATTTAATCATAGTCATGTAGAGGATTGAATGATTGAGAATGCTTTTTATGTCGCTCTTAGTTATATTCCTGGATCATCACGGCGTGGGACACCAAATTGGCTAAACACATGGTACCCATATGTGGGATCGACTCGGGGCTTACGAGCGAACGCTTAAACCGCTTGGACACCTCATCGCCTCTCTTGTATTTAAGGCTGAGATAATGATTTCATTGCTTGATCATTGCAGCTAACATAAATGGCACAGGCTGTTCTGGCATGGACTGTGGAAGTAACGGACGGTGCGTCTCTGATGGGTCAACAGGCGCATGTGTATGTGGTTCTGGACATTACAGTGGCAATGCTGGGAAGTGTGAACGCAAGAGGAGTACGTTCATATATTACTCAAGATAGTAACAGCTTAAATTCTCTGTGATATTCTTATAATCGTTTTAAATGAAATGAGACACATCATCGTCCATGGTCATGTCCACAGATTGAAAGGCAGAAAGGTGTCATTGGAGCAAATGATTACGGAACCTGTAATCGTGCATAATTGCTGATATTAATTTGTTATACACGTTCACCTTAATATGACCACATATTTTGTCATCGTTATTTGTATATGATTTATAGTGTGAGTAAATTGGTTTAACGCCGCTTTTAACGGTATTTCAGTTATATCGTGGCATGTCAGCTTAATGTGAGAGCCCGCAGTGATGCAAGTCTCAGACGTTTACCACTTCGGTGAAACCCACGAGCACGGGTATGGTGAAACATAATCGTGGCGAACCTGGGATTCGAACCCACAATCATAGGTTTCTGGCGTGCCCAAGGGACGCAACTCTGCACAGCGAATCGCGGCGCCTTTGAAGTTCAATATCAAATGTTTTTGGACTATCATTTTCAGTATTTTGTTTCTGGTCACAATAATCTTTTTCCCATTTTCATCTCTTGATATTACTGATGGACATAATAGCCAGACATGTTCCTGAAATGTATTTTGAAATTTGTTAAAAGGGATCATTTTGCATCCTGGGGCTAATTTATCAGAGACTGATGAAATCTGAATTGTAGAAGTAATTAGAAAGGAGTAATGAAAACCATAACGCATCTGTGCTAGACCAAACATTTTACATATTGATAACCATGAGACCTTCTGTATTACATAAGATAATAATGCACTTGCTATTATCTGGGTACATTTTCAAACGTATACACTTCACTGTTGCTCAATGTCTGTGACTGCTCATGTTGACTATATCGCCTATCTATAACTAGCAACCATCACATCCTGTGATAACAACAAGATGACAATCTGCATGAACCCCATCAACCTGTATCAGCCCCTCATCACGGTCTCTGGCTACACCTCCACTGAATGCACTGCCAATCCAGTAGGGGGTATCACTGACACTGAAGACAGGATCCCCTCAGACATACAAGGCCAGTGCATCACTGTCGGCTTCAGTGGCAGCTGTGGAACGTACACCACTACGACACAGGTAAGAGGAGAGCTGAAAGTCGCTGTGAACCTCAGAATTAAACGTTCTTGCATTGGATGTTTGACGTCAGCACTTATCTTTGTTCAAATACTTGGTAATTACAGTTTTATGTCATGATCCCCAAATTTTGCTAATTGTATATCTTAAAATATATAACGTTTGTGCATATCTATATATTTGATATGGATCCTTCACACGTAGCACGAATCCAGGAAATATTTAGTTTAGAAAGACGTCATTTATGATAATAATAATTTGATGATATTCGTCAAAGACTATTGGACATACATACATACATGTATTTCCATACTACCCACTAAACGCCAGGGAAATAGTAAGGGCAAGTGATGGTGACTATTTTTATGAGGAAACAACGTATATGTATTACATTTGCTTTCATTGTGGTAATACATCTAGTTTCGCGACAAAGTAATGTGTCATCACTATGTTCTGCAGGGAGGGAACGTGTGTTATACAATACCATACCGCATCCAGTACAACCCTATCATGCTGGTGGCCTCCGATGAGGTTGTATATGGCAATTGTTGTGTCAACGAATCCGGGCAAACCATATCCACAGATGCCATCCTAGCAGATACTGCAACGTGAGTAATATACCACGAATGACTGTTTTACGTCGAGAGGAGGGTGAGATTATGCAATGCCATTTGTATTATTCAAAATAGCCATACGTCATTATTTGTAGTAGAAGTAGTAGTTGTATTATTCAAAATAGCCATACGTCATTATTTGTAGTAGAAGTAGTAGTAGTCGTTCTAGATGTATCTGTGGTAATTGGTAATGTGGTAATATGGTAATTGTTGTGTAAAGAAATCCGGACAAACCATCTCCAAAGATGCCATCCTTGCAGACGTGCAACTTGAGTATTTTACCACGAATGAATTTTTGATAATTGATACATGTAAGTGTAGTTTGAGTGAGGATTGTATGTTGATATATACTTATCAAGTAGGGGAATTGCTCTGTTATTACAGAAAATTTCTCAACAAACAGCAGGAGAGTGCCAACTTTTTGGGAGTCAAGTTATCCGCCACGCTCAGTAATGGTCTCGCTATATCCAACCCTGTTCCACTTAACCAAATCTACAGGCTGTGTTTAAACATTGCAGATGATGGTAAGTATTTCGTTAATTATGATGTTCAGTCAATGTTGATCTTTAATAAAAGCAAATAGCTAACATGTCTGAAAATATAGTAGAATTCACTGGACAAGCAATGATCAGTCGCAGGCAGGTGAACCTTCACCATCTGTACAGGTCACAGTGACCAACATTTTGGTAGGAAACTGCGCTCTTAAGAGTACAGAACGATATCCTCAGGTCCATGGATAGACAGGAGATAGTTCTTCAAGTTCTGCTAGATCTGTCAGCTGCGTTCGACACCATCGACCATGGTATAACATGGGAACATCATTGGGAATTACAGGCACAGCCCAAGAGTGGTTCAGATCTTATATGTCCGGCCGAATAATGTCTGTCCAAGTTGATGGTGTAATGTCTGAGGAACAGAACCTCTCATTTTTGGCCCCACATGGTTCTGTCCTAGGGCCTGTCCTGTTCTCCATCTATTCACAAAGAAATGAGTTAAGCACACCCTGATATATTTCATTATTGTTTGGTACCAATATTTGTAACAGTCATGAAAGATATAATTACGGGAAGCATTATGTTTTCTCGAGATGATGTAATCAGTCATGCGTGACGAAAGCTCACTTGCCATGCATGGTATGCCCGTGCAGCGTGCTACCCTCGACTATCTCTAAAAGCAGTATATCCAAACGTTAAAATTGCTTTCTTAAGCTCGGTTTTAAACAGTTATTTCATAAATTGTGTGACCATGGCACAAGGGCGATTATCAGATGGCTAATAATTGGCATGCATAAAGCTGCAATGTCTTGTAATGGTCGGAATTTGGAGTATCATCACACTGTCGTAAGCCGTTTAGTCGAGAATCATGCTCACACCGGTACAGGACCGTCCCAGATCCGGAAGACCTCCTGTGACGATACATAGCGAAGACAGGGACCTTCTTCGTCTCAAACTCACCAATATCTCCTCTATTTGTTGTCAAATGTTGGTTCTATCCGATGACATTGGTATCGCCCAGCTCCTGTGGTCAGTCATCCAATGCCATGATGTTTGCCATTTGTCATGGTTCAGAAATAGGGGTGTGCTTAACTTTGTTCTTTGTGTATACATCCTTCCCATCGGAAATATCATCAGAAAACATAGTTTGGAATTTCATGGGTATGACGACAATCAGCTATACTTCGGCGTCAAGGCCCTGAACGCACATGGATGCCAATCTCAAGTTGAAGCCTGCATTAGGGATATCAAACACTGGCTGCCATCAAAACTTCTCAAATTGAAAGGTGACAAGGCAGAATCCGAGTTGGAGCAAGACATCGTGACGCAGATATTTTCGCGTCGTACGTCGTACGTAGGAAATAGTGATTCTAGGCCATACTAAGTCCTACGTAAGAGATAGTAAGTCCTACGTAGGAGATACGAAGTCCTACGTAGGAGATTGTAAGTCCTACGTAGGAGATGATAAGTCCTACGTAGGAGATACTAAGACAACAACAAAATCACCGTAGCCCTACTATGCTTCCGTAAGAAGTCAAGGCGACTATTACTTAAATGACCATTTGTTAAGCAGTTATGTGTCTATATATATCGAACCAACATGCATCTGGGGTCATTAAGCCGGATATGCATACAATATATATTAGATATGTTGAGAGGTGTTTTTGTTTTCAATTTGAACTTCACTTGGGATGTTTTTTACCCAACATGCATTATAAGGTAACACGATCACTTTGAACCAGAGGATCAACACTGCGCAAAGACACTTTGTAGCATACCTACCTTATGATGCAATTACCTATGTTGTCATAAAGCTCACATATGTAACCCAGAAGATAAACAAATTGTAATTTGCATGTAGTACCTACAGAATATTTATGTAATATAAAAGTAGAAAAGAAGCATACTATGAAAACAAAACGAGTAATATGTTATCAACAACAATAACGTCCTAAAACATTTGTTATTGTTTTCAAGGAACAATGGGTGTTAAGTTGACACAATCCTTGTGGTATGCATGTTACTGTTGACATTGACATATCTACAATGGTAAAGGTTTAAATATTTTTGAAAATTAATCGTTTCAAAGTAATAGCTACAATGTTGTAATATGATGTTACAATGAAGTAGATCAGAACATGCAGGTATTGTTAAAATTGAAACCCACAACGTTGGGAATGCGTTTTTGTATATATATATAACCATGAACCATACATCTCTATGAGAGTCACCTACCGTTTGGTAATATGTTTACTCTTGTAGCCTGACACGTCAGTTATTCACTGTCCAAAAGTGTAAAAAACCCGCTACGACAGACAGTCACGCTTCACGGAAATGGGTCAACAATTCACTGCAGCGAAATGCTGTATGGGGAAATAAGTCTGAAAGAGCTAGAGTGGTACACGGTCTGTCGCCTCCAAAAGGCTGTAGGTTAAAAGCGCAAGCGATCTAGGGCAGGTAAACCAGTCTAGGACAGGACGTTGCTATGATTGTTGCCGAATGGCATAAATGTGTTTTGTGTAATAATCTACAATTAGGAATGTTTTAAAAGATATTTTAATAAAAAAATATTTATTTTTTTATGTACCCACGTATCAGTATACACATATGAGACAAAGATAAAGTTTCTTTTAAAAGTTTGATTCCCTTCATCTAACGACTACTCATCCCCATTGCCCGTGCCTCCATGTAACTATCTTTAACCATGTAACTTTCTCTTTGGACGTTATCTTGAATAAGAAATGTTTCCCAAACGGAAGTAACGTCATTTATTAACTACTTCTTTAATAAGATAGTTGGAAACATTGGACATTAACATTGCATGCGACATGTATCTTAACCGGAAGTCGTAATACTTTCTTTAGAAGCTGGCTACAGGAATAGGACTTACTTGCTGAAATTGATACTGCTTTGATAACATGTTTCCCCAAAACAGACGCGATGTAAATAGACTGGATATGATGTTATTAGAGAGAAACTGGTTTACATTTAGGATCCTAAGTATGTATGCTAGAAGCAAGATATGTTTCTGTAGTTTGAGGGTGAAGTATATAAATATTTACCAAACCGAAGAAAGTTATTACACTGGTAATGGTGGTAAAGGGCCGCGTATGTTTTTCAAACACTTCAAAACAAGTACTAGTTGAAATACGTGGTTGAAATGTGTAGCTTTGCTTGGTTACAACATTAACCTGTTCAGTGCTAAGGCTTCACGATCTGTTTCAGTTGGAGCTCCCATATTAAGGTGCCTACGGTAATATAACTGAAACACTTTTTTTCCTCTCTGATGCAGTATTCATTATTGATTTATCTCTGCAGGCTTCTTGTATCTTGGCTTGATCCGAATAATCGTCCATAATGGTCAGACGGATTCCTCGCGGAAAGAGGCAGTGGTGTATGGAAACGATGGGTAAGAACAACGTAAATCGATCCACGTATACTCAAAAGAGGTCACCGCTTCAAACACAGTCAGCACGGTACTGACTATATCATGCGCATGTCATTATGATTCACTATCTAATTGTGATGATACCATAATGATGCTCGCGAAAAGATGAACGTATCCTGCACCACCGGTGGCACCCCTCACAAACACATGCAACGGAAAGACAATCTTTCAGCTGACAATGAAAGTGACCGTATGAAGCAACTCAAAATATGGAAATGCATCAGACATCATTTTTGTTACCGATACATACAATTTAAACATGTCCACCTCATGTCTAGCTAACACCTATTGAAAGCAATACTGAGGCCATGAGTGTTGTTAACCTGATCAAATCAAGAATCATATGACGTTCTGTGAAATCTCCTCGAAAAGGGCATACCTGATTAAAGACGGGAGCTCCTTTAATGTTGCTCGACATAAAAGGAAAGTTGGCTATTGGAAAGTTGAAGTCATCCCTCCTGTTATACATGGTCCTGTGTATAGGTGTCTGTCACTTTGAATCTTTACACGCAGATCTAAACATAAAATCATCTCTTTTCGGTTCATGTGTGTAAATCAGTGGCAAGGCATTGGACAATGTGGTCACTTTTATTGCACGATATCACATCACCGATGTACCTGAAGCTCCATTCTCTTGTTTTGATGTTTCCAATCCATTGAATCGCTATAAAAAAGTAATGATACCTGGTGTTCGCGAAAAGGTGAGCGTATCCTGCCCCACCGGTGGCACCCGGCACAAACACATGCAAAGGCAAGTCAATTGTTCGCCTAAAATAACCACGGGACATATTGCACGCATTTGTTTGCAGGATATGTGCCACAATCGTTCTACGATACTGTTTAGGGCAAGACAATGTTGAGAAATTGAACAGACTTAATCGTAAAAGTTTTCAGCAAACAGAAACGTTTGCAAAACAACATACAGTTACAATTTATTCAAATCAACGTATGGTGTTCACCAACAATTATTTTCAATAGAGCAAAAATTACAACTAATAAAACAATGTGTGACATTCGATGAGGTTCGTAGTGGTTGTTTTTAACTCAAACCTTTTTCTTATTGAAATAATGTGCATAATTTAACAGTCTTTATGTTGCCGAAAATATAACATAGTTTCAATAATAGTTACATATATCACTGCGAACGAATGACATCGGAGCTTTATTGCACTGGTGAGCTACAGTGTTCTTTTATAATTGGAATGTATCAGCTTAAGAAGAGGAAATACGTTCATATTCAAAATCATTATCAAAGATAATCTTGTTATCTTTTCCACTGACAATTGACAGTAATGAAATATTGAAATCGCGATCTGTTCTTATTCCAGATGCAGCGACGAGTCCGGTAAGGCAATCGTGCACTCCTATCCAAGCAGGGTGAGTGACACGCAGATTTGCATGCAGTACAGACCAGGTTACTTCCGACCAGGGCCTGCAGCCGTGGTGCACGACATGAAGTACAAACTGTGCCTCTCCGGGGATCAAGCTGGCTGTCAACTGGTGCGTGGAGTTATCAGTCAAATGTTGACACATCGGTTCAAAGACAAAAAGCCTATCTTAGTCATGATGGGTTGAAATATGTTGATAATCTTTCGCAGAGGTTTGTGCGTTTGAAGAAGGTACTACATAATTTGATATTAAGGCAATGCGGTTGTAGGTGATACACTTTGACCATTGACACACAATTGTGTACACTGTCTTGAATGGTTTATTTTAGGGTTCAGCATAGATTGACTCATACATTCTTGATACAGTCTTGAAACATTGGGACCGTAATGATGTATTTTCTTCTAATTCTTTTACTGGCCCTTTAATGGTAAGGATTATTGTTGACAGGTACAAGCTATTATAAAAAATACAAATGGTAAATATTACATCTTGTAACTAATGTAGCAAGTACAAGTTATTATCATACCAACATTATTTTCAGGTTTTTAAACGAAACATCTTTCATACACATTTGCAGCATTGCATTTACCCTTATACACCCTTTACATTTGTTATAGCATTGCTTGTTATGATTTAAATGTCGTTACTATTACATATTATATCAATACTTACAAACTTTGTGGGCCCTTTACAGCCTACACAAGTTCATTTCATATTTTATTTACATCCATGTATTTGGCCTTGCACTGACTAAAACACGGATGATTAAACAGGACAAACCAAAGAAAGTAGAGAAATTAAATGAAGCACTCATAAAAGATCTAAAGTGACCTCCTCACATGTGGTAGCGTACAACGGTAATAGTTTACTTATATTTAATTTATCAATGGTCGGTTTCAACTTTATGTCTATACACCCATGTAGTTAAGTTCCTGTTTAGTGATGAGACAATGTATCTCCCGCGAAGTGCAGATATCAGTGTAAGGGTGTACATACAACGTAACGGACCAACCTGCCAGTAATCCTCAGAAACACCTGTTCTCGGCGTCTACAATCTGTTGTTGATGAGACATGAACTGGAAAACTGTGTAAATATTACCGTAGGTTAGTTTTAAATAACTTCAGTCTGAAATTGGACACATTTCTGTTGACAGTATGTATGTACTTCCTTCATGTATTTATTTCAAGACAACATGCGGAGTAACGGGAGACAGAAAGAAGCGTCAAACCAATGACGGCAGAGTTGAGTCAACAGCCAACACCACAGTGTACTTTGAGGATGACACCACGGCAGCATCGCAAACAAACGGTATGTTCTGCACAACAATGTGGAAATAGTGTTTCTCATTAAATTGTAGTCAATATAAGACTAGTCTGTGCCAATCATATCGATGACTCACGCGTCATGAAAGTGATGACATTTACTAAACAAGTACAATGCTCGAGTGAAATGAGATAGCACGCTACACGAATGTTAATGATATATCACAGAGAGCTGACTCGACAGTAAGGGCGGATGTACAGTTCCCTTTTGCGAGATGAAAGTTCTATGACATACCTATTAGAGGCGAATTGTGTCTTTCATTTGTTTGTTTGTTGTTTAACTCAGCAATATTCCAGCTATACGTCGACCGACTGTAAATAATCGAGTCTGGACCAGACAATCTAGTGATTGGCATCATGAGCATCGATCCACGCAATTGGGATACGATGACGTGTATCAGGCAAGTTTGCGAGCCTGACCACCCGATCCCGTTAGTCGCCTCCTACGATAGCATAGTCCCCTTTTTAACGCATGCTTGGGTTGCTGAAGACCTATTCAACCCCGTATCTTCACACACACATGAACAATGGGTATACTAGTATTCGAGTATGTGGAGTGAAAAGAGGTTTTGTGAAGTGGAAGTGGGGCTTAAAGTCGCATTCAAGACTATTACATTCATACAGCGACGTGCATGCACGTATGCGTGCGTCTACTTGTACTAGTACGGACCCGGGGTGGTCTTCAGCAACCCACCGGGATCGGGTTGTCAGGCTCGCTGACTTGGTGGATGCATGTCATCGTATCCAAATTGCGTAGGTCGATGGTCATGATGTCAATCACTTGATTGTCTGATCCCGACTCGATCATTTACAGGCTGTCCTATAGCTGGAATATTGCTGAGTGTGGCGTTAAACATCAAACAAACAAGGAAGAGAATATGTTGATGTCAACTTTTTTTATTATGAGGAACACAACGTTTCGGAGTATATGTTTACTCCTTCATCAGGTTCACCTGAGTAAGCATATACTGACGTCTTTTGGTGTGACGCGACCAGGAGATCGAACCATAAATTGTCCGTTTCCAGGCAGATGCTCTATCCACTAGACCACGGATGCGGTTAGTCAGACGAGATATAAGCGTTTTAACTGCTGGCTATGCATAAGATGTTAGGAAGGTCAGTTGGGTTTTCCACTGTTTTCAGTATTATTCTGGCCATATTACGGAAGGGATGCCCTTGAATGGGCTTTACACATTATACCAATTTAAGGAGTCGAACCTTCAGTACCACGCCACTCAGCTACCCCACCAACAAAACCCGGGCAGATCTCTGAAAAAGTCCGCAATTGGTGAAGTTCTACCAATGGATAAAAGACGATATGAATTTCTTTCCAGGCGAAACTGGTGTTTTTCCAACTGCAAAGAACTGCCTCCCTGGGATGTCTGTGATGTTCCCCGCCATCATCGTGGTCTGCATCGTCGCCCTGATACTGCTCCTGATCATTGTGTACATGTGTTTCCTCCTCATGAAGAAACGACGCAAACAAGAGGATGAAGACAATGAAGTGAAGTCCCAAAAGAGTTGCATGTCACAACGCTACTAATTCAGCTTAATATACTGAACCGCAAAAGAAACGTCACCCCAAGTAATATTGCATGAAAAGTTGCCATTTAAATATCTGTGTAATTTTTGTCAAAGTTTCTAAAATTTAACATTATCATGTCCGGAAAAATTAAATTTGATGATACCAAAACAAAGCAGATGACAATAAAACCGATCGCCTAACCAATCACGGCAACCGCCATGGTAATCCAATGCACGTTCCGTGCAAATTGAAATGCACATGCGTTCCCCAATTTCTTGCCCTATAAGAATCCACCAAGATCGGATAACATTCATTCGTTTTTGAATTGCTACCACATGCCAAGATTGACAAGAAATCAGTGACACCAAGCCCTTGGACGATTGCAAGCTGGACAAACCGCCCGGCAAGAAGCCAATGCATTTCAAGTCCACGTAAGGACCATATACAGGCTCCAGCAACGGTACCAAACAACCAACACTACAGATGACCGACCACGTAGTGGAAGACCAAGGGTCACTACCCGACGTCAGGATCGTCAGATTGTGCGACAGCATCTTCAAGATCGCTTTGTTACTGCTGCGGAAACTGCTCGACAGACCATGGGGACACACCAGCGCCACATTAGTGCGGACACCGTGCGTCGACGATTGACGAGCAGACACCTCCACTGTCACAGGCCACACCGAGGACCCATTCTGACACCACGTCATCGCCGGGACCGTCTTCAGTTGGAAACACAGCACCAGCATTGGCGCCACCAGTAGTGGAGAAGAGTCCTCTTCTCAGACGATAGCCGTTACTGTATCTCAACAGCAGATGGCAGAGAGATAGTCTGGCGACGCTGTGGGGAACGTTATTCGGATGCTTGTGATGTTGAGAGTGTCTCGTGAGGTAGTCCGAGCATCATGGTGTGGGGTGGAATTGGTCTTGCACAAAGGGTCGGCCCTGTGGTCTTCCAGAACATCGGTCCAGGGAGAGGCAATGGTGTCACAGCCACTCGGTACATTGGTCAAGTTTCGAGACCACACGCCATACCTCATTTGGCACGTCGCCGCAACCACAAGTTTCAGCATGATTACGCCCGTGTCCACACTGCGAGAGCAATAAGAGACTTCCTTTGCAGAATGGCTCCAGAACCATGCAGTGGCCTGCCCTCAGTCCCGATTTATATCCCATTAAGCACCTGTGGGACGAGATTCAAGGACGTCTGAATGACGTCCGACTAAGGCCGACAACTGCAGCTTAACTGCGTCAGGCGTTCCTCAGAGTGTGGGCTCAAGTGCCTATGGCCTTCATCAACCTCCTGACCCATTCCATGTATCGACGTTGCACCGCAGTCATCAATGCACATGACGGACACACGATATACTGACTTCTGATGCCATTTTCTCAGAGACTGGGGTTGTGTTGCCCTTAAAGAACAGTTTTGCCAAGTTTCATCTTTTTAATATGTCTCAAAGTATGTTTACAGTGTTTGGACAAATAAGGTTTCTCATATTTCTATCCATGGTGACGTTTCTTTTGCGGTTCAGTATATGTCAACAAAGCAAACTCTTTCCCTTATATTTAGGTCGTAAAACAATGCTCACTGGGATCCAGACCAGGCAAACAAGTCAATTTAACAATATGCAACCATCCATGCTGTCGAAGTAAACTGATGGGCAAAAGAAAGTATACACCCAACTTTGATGGTGTCTGAACAAACGCAAAATGGTTGATTGTTGGATGGATTGATACGGGAATCATTGTTGTGTTTTGGACCTTAAGTTTGCAGCGTTTCCGTGACGTTTCATCGTAGTAAGATTTTGATAACGTTTTTTAAGTTTTTTGCTTTCTTTTGTTCGGCAGTTTACATAACTGTCGACTTGGTTTCATCTTTTTAGAGTTGAGTAGCAGAGAAAGACAACTCGTTTAACAATCACACAGCTCTTACGACAAGTATGTTCTTCTTAGGACCTATTTTTACCTTGAATCTGTGTCAACTAGAATGGGGATCCGGGGTTGAATAGGTCTTCAGCAACTCACGCTTGCTGTAAAAAGCGACTCTGCTTGTAGTAAGAGGCGACTAACGGGATCGGGTGGTCAGGTTCGCTGAATGGTGGATGCATGTCATTGATCCATATTGCGTGGATCGATGCCCATGATGTCAATCAATGGATTGTCTGGTCCAAACTCGATTATTTGCAGACCGCCTTCATTTAGCTGGAATATTTCTGAGCGCAGTGTTAAACAACAAGCAAACAAACAAAACAAAACTTGTGGTTGACTGCGTGTACTTCTACAATTGCAATCGGTTTACGATCCGGCAACTCCAAGAAAATTGAAATGCAAAAAAATCAAAACATCAGCGGTTTCAACTCCATGAACTCTATCTCTATCAATCTTAAACTCTCTAAACATATCGAATTCTGAAGAAACCCTTTTCCTTCCTGCCCAGACTAACCGAACAATTTGAGGAAATTAAACATTTTTCATTTGAAACTGTTTTTGTTTATATTATTTTTATAACCGACCTACCAAACTCTGTTAACCCCAAACATGGGTATATCATTGAAAGGATTGACTCTAGGGCACTTGTGACAATGAAATGATCCAGTTTCATCGAGATCACCTTTGTAAGCAACAACAATAATAATATATATCCATAACTATGTTTACGAATCACTATCAAATCGTGATGATACCAGGTGTTCGTGAAAGGGCGAGCGTATCCAGTCCCACCCGTCACAAATACATGCAAAGTCCATTGTTCACCTTGAAACACATGGGAACATAATTGTGGTACAAGTCAAAATAAGGAATTGCATCGGACATATATTTTTGTCAATGATGTGTCAGATTTGGAAATGTCCTACACATGTCCACATAAAGCCTTTTGAAAGCTTTAATTGCGTCTTAAAGGTTGTAACCTTGATCAAGCAACTTCTGAACAAGAGTCGTATGACGCTCTTTGAAATCTTGGTAGAAAGAGCATGCTCCATTGTATCTCAAAAGTTTTGAAATGTAAAAACCAAAGGCTAGAGCTGCTGGAATATTTCTCGACATAAAGGGAAAGTTGACTTTTGGAAAGTTGAAGTCATCCCTCTTGTCATACAGTCTTGTGGAGAGTGTTTTGTCACCTTGAATCTTTATGCATAGATCTAAGTATGAAACAGATGAGACCGTCTCCTTTATTTCTAGCTCGGGTGTGTAAATCGCTGGAGGGGAATTTGCTATTTGATTGTGAATGAACGCGTATAACGCGAACAGTTATCACACTATTGAAGAATAGGATGACATTGCATATTGCATCATGTGAACACTGTTCAATGTGTGATATACTATAGGCATATGAATACAAGAAATTGATAATTTGATTGTTGTTTATGTTTCATTAGCCAGCTGTGTAAATGGGGATGTTTTTGCCTCAGTTTAATAGCCACACTTATCTTATGAAACCATGCATTGCTTGGGCATCTCTTTGGAATAAATAACACATGTTTCCTTGGCTTAGAACGTCTAATGACACATTGATCTGTTATGACAAAGGTCAAAGTCACTAGCAGACAAAAAGTTTGTTTGTGGTCTATACTTCCTATCGGCAGGGGTCGAAGTTAGAAAAAGGTCATGCGTGACCTACATACAATACATTTTCTCTAAATTGCCTTTTTCTGCAGAAGTCTTAGTAACTCTTATACATATACCGGTTATATTATTTTCATAGTTTTGTCAATGTTATGTTTAATTCCACCAAAGAACAACATATTTAATTTGATTATTAATTAATTAAATGCACTATTTTGGTAATCTGACATTATTCCAATTCAAGGGGCTTTCTCCCCCTGCATTTGTGTTCCACGGTCAAAGGGAAGCTACTCTTCCTGGTTTGTAAGTGCAAAGGAAGCTACTCTTCCTGGTTTAATAGTGCAAGGCACCTTATCAGTGTATTATTCAAGAATTGTTCTTCACATGCTCTAAACAAAGGGAAGTAAACCACGTTGCAGCTGAATTTAGTTGCTACAATCTTTTTTCATCCACACAACCACACCGGTAACACTTTTTATAAATGGCGGAACACTAACGTTAGAAGAAACATTTCTAATTCTCGTTGTTGTGGCGTTAGTTATTATTGTAGTGAACGTTATAGCTTTATTTATCCTGTTGGAAAAGTATTTCAAACAAAGGACAATTTTGTTTCGGGGATGGAATCAAGATTTGCAGTAACAACTGCAGCTAAGAGAGTGCGTTTCATGGAGACAGGGAAAATGGCGGCAGCAGAGTGGCCGAAGCAGAGGTCCCCGTGGTCCCAGAGGCTATCGACGATAACGCCTGTTACCACTACTCCTTCAGGAGGTGAGTCGGTGCAAATTGGTTTTTATCCAAATAATGCATATAACCCTTCAGTTAACTCACAAATGTATCCTCCCGGAATTTGAAAATCATGTCCCTCAATCCCAGCATCATAACAATGCTCCTAGCATGGTTAGTAACCCAAATGCCCCTCATAATTCACAAGTCATTCTCATGTTTCAAAATGTTGACATGTTAAATATGCCACCACCTACAACGACACAAAGTGTTTATGATCACCTGGGTTGTAATGTTTCTGTCAGCATTAAAAACAAACTATGGAATGGTGAGTACATAGATTTTCAGACTTTTGCTTAAACCAGACAGAGATTCGATGGTTTTATATACAACTTCGGCAGTATTCATCAGTACAGATGGACAGCTGGAGTTGAGGCAAAAGTCTCAAGGCGCGAGAATTAGAACATTTTTAATTGGACAACAGCTTTTACAACTTACACGTGGAAGCGATGCCCATCCAGCCTGCAGAGGTACATCAACCAGCACTCCTTCCAGAGTTATACAAGCTCGGTCAAACACCAGTAAAGACACAGGTGATGGAACGAATGGCCAAGCATTTTCCGGATGAGGCTCAGTTTCTCGTTAATGGTTTCAAATATGGCTTCAAGCTAGGATATGATGGTACAGTGGTAGGTTCTATGGTATGGCAAGAAATCTCAAATTTGTTAAAAATAATCATCTTATGTCACATTTAAAATTCCAAAAAGAGTTGGACTTGGGTAGAATAGACAACCCTCCAAAACCATATGTTAAGGTTTCACGCTTGATTGGTCCCTAACAGCGCTCCAGGAGATTATAGATTAATACACCACCTATCTTTCCAGGAGGTCAGAGCGTAAATGATTTTATTGATAAATCAACACGTGTGTGCGTGTGCCGGAGATAAGCTCATTCGTTCGATGCTATAGATCATATTTTGACACGATTAAAGGTTAGATTAAAGGTGATGCAGTCGTTACTTGGTTTACTTAATTTCCTGTGCAAAGCAGTTCCA